ATTCCCTGTGCCTTGCACAGATCCTAGCACACCACAGGATCTCAATTAATATGTGTGGTGTGAATAAATGAAAAAGAGTAATTGAACTTTCTGCATCTTCTGAGAGATCTCTCTGACTTCATTATCCTCAAAAACTACAGAGAGTGAGAGAAATTCATTCTTCCCCTATTGTACATACAGGCCTTCTCTGAGGCCCAGAGAAAGGAAGATAACACAGTATACCCAGAGGCTAAGCTAGAGCTGGGGTCCAGGTCTGTTGCCAATCAGTCCGGTGTTCTTCCCCAGAAGGGGAATGGGACAAAAAGGAAGGATATGCCATTCGTGGTTCCCCTATTCTATGTCAGATACTACACTTGAGTACATTTTCTAGGAACCACATTTTACAGATCAGGAAACTGAGGCTCCAAATCAGATCTGTCTGACTACAAAGCCCACACTCTTTTCTCTGCACATGGCTGGAATGTACAGCCCTCCTCTGCCCCTTCATCAGGATCAGTGAGACAACCTGAGTCCATCATTCTGTCTCTCAACCATGTCCTTTAAACCAGCACCACACACAGGCCCACAGCGCAGCCCACACTCCCAGACCACAGGCTGTATTTTACACAGTTTCCAAGCCCAGGATATTTGGGTTGTAAGACAAAACCTCCATTTCTCCAGCAGAAAGTGAACACTACACACAATTACCCGGCCAAACTGCTGATGCCTACAGACACTGCATCATGCCGAATAGGCTCTGGTCTGCCCAGAGACATTCTTAGTGGATCCTGGACTCCCCCAGAGCTTGGCACCGAGGGGACCCTGGAACCGGGGGAGGGAGGAGCTCTCTGGATCACAGAGTCTGGGTAGAGGCTCCACTCCCAGGACAGAGATTGATCCAGGGGAGAAGTGAAACCACAGAAGCCCAAAGCTGCCCACCCCAAGAGAGTGGGGTTGATCCCTGCCAAATCCAAGAGACCTCCCCACCCCACCCCTGCTTCCCACAGAGTGGCAGTCTCCGTTTTGAGACTGGTAAGGCTGAGGATGCTGATGTTCAAGTCCTGGGGCCAGAAACGTCAAGCCCTTAGCCCTTCCCCCGTTGTCCCAAAGGGGTGGATTTTCCTGTTTTCAAAGCTTTAGAACCAGGGGAGTGATCCGCACACATTCACTACATACTCTGACGGCAGACAGACCTGGGATGGAATCCTGGCCAGCTCTCACTTAACCTCATTGTGCTTCAGTTGCCTTATCTTTAAAACAGGAGTGCCTGTCTCACAGCGTTGTTCCAGAGGTTTCATGAAACAAAAGATGCAAAGCACATAACAAGGGGCTGGCCTTTAGCAGGTACTAAATAAATGGGAGTAACCGTGAGTAAGCCTTCCCCCCCAGCCACTCTGACTGCTGGGCCCGACACAATTTTGCTGGATTTTAAACCTGTTCTCATTTGGTTGAGCTAAAAGTCCTGGGAACACCTCAAATCCTCAGCAGAGATACAATCAAATCTGTCTTACTTTTTTGAGATGACATTATTTACCCCTCACCTATAACAACCTCCCAGCACATCACCCAGTACCAGGTATTTCCCAGGACCTCAGGCCAACGACTCCTCCTTTCCACGTTGTAACCAAATGCTTTTGGGAGGTTAACAGCCATCAATGTGTGTGAAGGCGGTT